TGGCAGCATGCATCCAGGGACTCCATGTACCGAAGGCGTCAAGCAAACCCCGGTGACCTTCTCGCCTACTCTTAGCTTGAGTAGTCCGTGACCTGCACGGATAAGATTTGTTGATAGCCACCTAGCGACACGCTATCTTTCCACGGTGGTTGATACCGGAATGCAAGGTGCTCTCCAGTTCAGGGCCTTCCGTGTTCGATTGCCATTGCGGTGTCACCTACTCTTATGCCCGGTGACCCAGCAGCAACTTCCAGCGTGTTGTCGGCCTTCTTGCCTGGGCAGTTGAGTTGCTGATGCAGCCAGAGCTTTCTTCGGACTCTTCCTAAGTTTTGTGCTTGCCAGCTCACCTTCACTCATTGCTGGGGTTGCAGAACCCCAGCTATCCGTCTTCGGCACAAGTGTCGTCTATCAGACCGGCCACGCCTGGTGCAACAAATCACGCGATGAAGCTCTGGATGATGTGAAGACTCTGGTGGCGGTCTCACGTTCGAGGAAGTTGTCAGAACTGTAGGCCACGCTCGGATGCCAGAGCACATGCAGTTACGGGCAAGGGCCACCAACATGCATGCGGCAAGCGTGGAAAAGATTGCATGGTGCTGCAAACAAGGCAGCGTGCTGTGCAAACTATCCTGCATCTAAAAGTCTGGCAGCTTTCTGAGCGCCAGCAATTGGGTATGCGCAAGCTCCACCACAGCAAGCGCAGCCAAAGTGCTGCCCAAAGTACGATCTTAGGGACGCATGGTCTACCTCGCATGATCAGCAGACTTCTGCCTGCTGTCCTTGCAGTTCGACCGCAGTGTGCAGCTGCTGATACATGCCCATATGGAGCGACCTATTTGAGAAGACCCCATGCGTAGACTGTCCAGGATTCCGGGCTTGTTGCCTCAAGCGTGGAGGTTTCAGGCATGGAAGGATGCTTCCATGAGTCAATGAGGCCTTGAGAGCATATCGGATCTCTGCGCCTTGCTGTTCTAGTCTTCTGGCCCCAGCGGTGTCGGGGTTCTTTGCCCAAACGTGACTTGTCTTCACGCCCTTCGCACCTCAGCAGTTTCAACTTGGAGCGGGACAGACGCAATGGACGCGAAAGGTGCTGATACGTGCCCACTTGGCTCGATCTGCTCAAGAAAGCCATAGACAGCGCTGCCTGAAAGGATGCTAGACTGTCTAGGATTCAATGCTCGGTGCAGCCGATTTGGAGCGATCGTTTTGAGAGAGCCCCTCCTGAGAAAATGCCTAGACTGTCCATTCAGGGCGTGTTGCCTGAAGCGTGGAGGTTTCAGGCATGGAAGGATGCTTCCATGAGTCAATGAGGCCTTGTCCGATCTCTTGCTATTCTCGTCTTCCCAAGCGCAGCAGCCGGCATCTCGGCACTAGAAACGTCAGGTTCTTTGCCCAAAAGCGGCTTGTCCTCACGCCCTTCGTACCTCAGCAGTTCCAACTTGGAGCGGGACAGATGCAACTGGATTTCTGAGCAATGGATGTGCCATGCACAGGACTGTGCTCTTGCAGTGAAGGTCCACCAAGTGAGTATCAGGAGACCTCGGAGATGCGAGCGTTTGGGAAACTGAGGAGAGCCACCGTGGGACGCCTCCGGGACCCAATCTTAGGGGACGCAACTGGGACGCATGGTCTACCTCGCATCATCAACAGACTTCTGCCTGCTGTCCTTGCAGCTCGACCGCAGTGTGCAGCCGCTGACACATGCCATGCGATCTGTTTAAGAAAGCCATAGAAAGAGCCTCCTGAGGGGATGCCCAGACTGTCCAGGGTTCCGGGTTTGTTGCCTCAAGCGTGGAGGTTTCCGGCACGGAAGGATACTTTCATGAGTCAATGAGGCCTTGAGAGCATATCGGATCTCCGTGCCTTGCTGTGCATCTCGAGAAATGTCAGAGTTCTTTGCCCAGACGTGGCTTGTCCTCGCGCCCTTCGTACCTCAGCAGTTTCAACTTGGAGCGGGACAGATGCAACTGGACTCTTGAGCATGCATGGCTAGAGAAGATCGATCTCACGCCGTGGACCCCTGGATGTGGCATGCACCGGACAGTGCGCTTGAAGCGCACGTTCACCAAGGGAGTATCCGGAGACCTCCGAGATGGGAGCGGTTGGGAAACTGAAGAGAGCCATTACGGGACGCCTCCGGGACCCAAGCTACGACAAGCGTTTCCGGAGGTCGGAGTTCACGATCTCCGAGAATCGTAATCCATAGTCTCCAAGAATCGTAATGCAGTCGGCTCACGACGCAGGCCGACATTCCAACTTGTTTTCAAGCAAGCCACAGAGTCGCCGCCTGGGCATGAGGGGACCCCCTTTAAAAGACCCCTGTAGCCACCGCCGTCACAACGTGCCTCCGCTGAGCTCCCAAAGAGTTCAAGATAGTTCACGAGCTGCGCACGACCTGTTCGCGAAGAGTTGCGAGGGGAGATGGCTGAAGTTCCGGAAGTGTCAGGTGGGTGAAGGCTTTGATCATTCGGTTCAACTCCACGGCCTACCGAAGGCGTCAAGCAAACCCCGGTGACCCTCTCGCCTACTCTTAGCTTGAGTAGTCCGTGACCTGCACGGATAAGATTTGTTGATAGCCACCTAGCGACACGCTATCTTTCCACGGTGGTTGATACCGGAATGCAAGGTGCTCTCCAGTTCAGGGCCTTTCGTGTTCGATTGCCATTGCGGTGTCACCTACTCTTACGCCCGGTGACCCAGCAGCAACTTCCAGCTTGTTGTCGGCCTTCTTGCCTGGGCAGTTGAGTTGCTGATGCAGCCAGAGCTTTCTTCGGACTCTTCCTAAGTTTTGTGCTTGCCAGCTCACCTTCACTCATTGCTGGGAATGCAGAACCCCAGCTATCCGTCTTCGGCACAAGTGTCGTCTATCAGACCGGCCACGCCTGGTGCAACAAATCACGCGATGAAGCTCTGGATGATGTGAAGACTCTGGTGGCGGTCTCACGTTCGAGGAAGTTGTCAGAACTGTAGGCCACGCTCGGATGCCAGAGCACATGCAGTTACGGGCAAGGGCCACCAACATGCATGCGGCAAGCGTGGAAAAGATTGCATGGTGCTGCAAACAAGGCAGCGTGCTGTGCAAACTATCCTGCATCTAAAAGTCTGGCAGCTTTCTGAGCGCCAGCAATTGGGTATGCGCAAGCTCCACCACAGCAAGCGCAGCCAAAGTGCTGCCCAAAGTACGATCTTAGGGACGCATGGTCTACCTCGCATGATCAGCAGACTTCTGCCTGCTGTCCTTGCAGCTCGACCGCAGTGTGCAGCTGCTGATACATGCCCATATGGAGCGACCTATTTGAGAAGACCCCATGCGTAGACTGTCCAGGATTCCGGGCTTGTTGCCTCAAGCGTGGAGGTTTCAGGCATGGAAGGATGCTTCCATGAGTCAATGAGGCCTTGAGAGCATATCGGATCTCTGCGCCTTGCTGTTCTAGTCTTCTGGCCCCAGCGGTGTCGGGGTTCTTTGCCCAAACGTGACTTGTCTTCACGCCCTTCGCACCTCAGCAGTTTCAACTTGGAGCGGGACAGACGCAATGGACGCGAAAGGTGCTGATACGTGCCCACTTGGCTCGATCTGCTCAAGAAAGCCATAGACAGCGCTGCCTGAAAGGATGCTAGACTGTCTAGGATTCAATGCTCGGTGCCTCAAGCGTGGAGCTTTCAGGCAGTTTGGAGCATGTCGGATCGCTTCGCCTTGCTGTTCTAGTCTTCCCCAGCACAGCTGCCGGCATCTCGGCCCTAGAAATATCACAGTTTTTTGTGCAAAAGCGGCTCGTCCTCACGCCCTTGGTACCTCAGCAGTTTCAACTTGGAGCGGGACAGATGCGACTGGACTCTTGAGCATGCATGGCTAGAGAAGATCGATCTCACGCCGTGGACCCCTGGATGTGGCATTGTCAGGACAGTGCGCAGGCAGTGAAGGTGCCCCCGAGTATGAGGAGATGCGAGCGGTTGGGAAGCTGAGGAGAGCCACCACGGGACGCCTCCGGGACACAACCTACGACAAGCGTTTCCGGAGGTCGGAGTTCGCGATCTCCGAGAATCGTAATCCAGTCGGCTCAGGGCGCAGGCTGACATTCCGAGATGGAGCGCGGGCCTTGTTTTCAAGCAGGCCGCATCGTCGCACTGTGGGCATGACCAGCATGACCAAGCCTCGGCTTGATCAAGCAGTTCAACTCCACCAAGCTTTGGCAGGTCAGACTCTACTGACTTGCCTCCCCTTGAGCACCCCTGTGGCCACTGCGACCACAATGTGCCTCCAAACCGCTCACCGAAGCAGCGTGAGGGAAAAAGCACGGAGTTGCCCAAGGGTTGCTGGGTTCCCAAAGAGAGTTCAAGATAGTTCACGAGCTGTTCACGAGCTGTTCACGAGCTGTTCACGAAGAGTTGCGAGGGGAGATGGCTGAAGTTCTGGAAGTGTCAGACATTTTCGGTGGGCGTCGGCGGTTGAAGCGACCAAAAGTCATGAGGCTCTATGTTCGTTTTCGAATCGGTTACCGGGTTGCTTTCAGTTCTATGGGCGCCCTGTGGGATGTGTGTTGCCAGCATTCGCTACCCAACAGCTACTCTTCAGCCCTGGTTAGTAACTTTGAGAATCGCGGAAAAGAGTTGCAGGGTGTCTCGGGAAGGTCAACCAAATGCTGGTCAACGTGCCGTTGCTTGATTGCAAAGCCCGAAGCGTATCAACTGTTGGAGAATAACTTAGTGAAATAATGATACGGCAATTGCTACAACTACAATTCGTGCAACAGTTTAAAGTACTGCGAGGCAAGCTATACTGCAATGCGAATGCAAATCCTGCAATGACTGCAACTACTGTAATTGTATATCAACGCTTGCCTGCACCTCGGCAGTTGGGCTAGCAACGCAGGATCCATGCAGCCACGGGTGCTTGAATTGTGCTTGCAAGAGACACGTAGTACAGGAGGTGCAGCAGGTTTGCGGCGGGGGTGCGCAGATCGTACTGCTTCTTGCTGATCCTAGTTGCGAATGGTTTGGCAATGAAAGGAGTACATTGTGCTTCTCTCCTGATACTCCGCTTCTCTTTGCCTGCAGCAGAGCAGTGCGGGACCATCGGATGCTGGCGATGCGATGTCCATGGTGCGTGCATTCAATGTTGGCAATCATGGAAGCTGGTGAAAGGAGCTGGAACCTGTGAGATGTGTGGCGTTACCGGGCGATGTTCTGATGGGTGCGCCAGTGGATACGTTGAGGATCCTGATGAGCTGGGTTCCTGCAAGGCGTGCGCAGACAACTGCGCTGGGTGTGCATTGTCTGGTCCGGGGAAGTGCGATCCTGGCATGTGCCGTCCTGGCTTTACTGTAGCATCTGGAGGCTGTACAGCCTGTGTCAAGAACTGCGCCGAGTGCACTGACTTGAGGACATGCTCGCTATGTGCCGCAGCCGAGAACGCCCTACTTCAAAGCTTTTCTTCAAAGCTGTGTTTTTGCTTTGCCCATAGTGCCCCTGATGCCGATGTGCTTTGATTTCTTCTCGTCTTTCTGCCACAGCAAGGCACACATGGCTACACCCTCAGCGCGGATGCTTCGTCATGCCTGCCATGCGGCCGCTTCTGCAACAATTGTACCAGCCCAAGTCGATGCAGAGCAGGCGGGTGCTGGGAACGTTTTGGTGTGGACAGTGCAGGCGAGTGCATCTTGGCTTCTTTATGCACTCGTTCTCTCCTGTTGGCAACAACTTCAAACTCCTGAAATGTAGACGTACATGTGCAAAGCCCCGCAAAGTAGAACCGAAAAGGCAAGATGTTGCAGTTGAGATGTTGCAACTTTCGCTTCCTTGAAAGGCAAGAGGTGCGATGCGTCTGGCTGCCTGAAGTGTGACGTGCGGGGGCCCGGGACCTGCGACCAGGTGGCTTTCTGTGCTTCAGGGCATCCTGTGGGGTGGACTTTGTCCAATGGAAGCTACGGAAGCTGTGCAAGATGCTCTCCACATTGTCACAGCTGTGGAATTGCAGGACCCGGAAGATGTGATGCTGCCGGGTGTGCCTTCGGCTTTGGGATCGCTCAGGGCATTTGCTCTCGCTGCAGATGGCCTGGCAGATGTCGAGATTGCGATGTGCCTTGGCGGTGCAAGGACCAACGGGAGAGAAGGGTCCAAAATGGCAATCGCTGCTTAACCAATCCAGCTGTTCAACATGTTTCAACAGTCATGGGAGCCTTAATTCCGGATCTCACTGTTTGCAGGAGTGCGTGCCTGGCAAGCACTTGACACCTGATGGCCAGTGCGTCACCTGCGCCGCAAACTGCCGCACCTGCAGCGAGGAGGGGATGTGCGACAAAGCTAGCTGTGGAAGAGGCTACGGCCTCACGCACGAGAGCCTGTGTGAGCCATGCGCAGATCACTGCCACTCCTGTGCAAATGCTGGAGCCGGTAGGTGTGACTCCGGTTCTTGCGCGTTGGGCTTCGGCCCGAGTGAGAATCAGACGTGTGAGGCGTGCGCCGAACACTGCGAGTCTTGCAATCAGGCCGGCTCGCGCCTCTGTGACCTGGGACGCTGCAAGGCAGGATACGGCCTTGACGCCTTCGAATGCAGGCCGGAATCTGTGTCCCGAGCCTCCCTTGGGCATGTGCGGGAGGCACTGCCAAAGGCAGAGGAGGCCAGGGGGACGCTGGTTGTCCCCATGGCGGTTGTGAACGGCAGCGATCACTGCCTTGGTCTCCTGGACGTCGAGCGAGGGCAGCTTGTGGGCACCCCAAAGTGCCTGGGTTGCCGTTCAGGAGCTTATGTAAAGCCGTCGGTACCAAAGCGAGGCCATGGTGGTGAAGACGTGGTGCATAGCAAGGCTTCTTGTTCTTGGGGGCATCTTTGTGGGGTCACGAGATGTATAGGGCTCCGCCTGAAAGCCGAAGCCCAGGTTTTGCATGCCCTGGGACAACACGGTCGGCCTCCAATGCAGCTTTGACAGCCACCGTGGGATGCTCCACTTCCATGAGAACAGCTTCCTGCGGAGGATCTCCTTGGATTCCTGGATTCAAGTGGCGCACCAGCCGTTGGGCTCGCACCTGCATGTTCTGTCCTTTGACCCCAGCATCCCCGACCTCGTGGGCGTGATCCACGTCTTCGAGGCCAAGATGTCCTACGTCGTCTCAGTGTCCGAGGACGCATCCCTCTCCTTCTGGCGGCTTGGCTTCTAGGGAAGCTTTTTCGGGAGCTTGGGGGGTTTAGGAGGGCAAGTTCACGGGACTCGTGTTCAGGTCTAGCCAGTGGCACTATGACCCGACCTGGGGCTACAACACCATGGCGGCATGGCTTGGGCGAGTCATTGTGCCAACGAGCAAGCCACTCGCATCGTGATTCTCCGAAACTTGTCGGGGCTAGGTATCGGCCACCGAGAGGAAACACTGCTCCCGACATGTGTGAGAGAGGTTCTAGGATTCGGGCCTTTGCAGATCGGATGGCTTCGCAACCGTCAAACTCCAAAATGCTCTCATCTCATGGCTGACGTGGTGTAGGCAGGGGCTGCTCTCCTAACAGCCCAACGGGCACCACGCTTCACCTCCGTTGCCAGGTTAGCCTTCCGAAGCGTCCATCGTGCTGCGGCCTTTGCGGCTTGGAGAAAAAGCGTCCTGGGCACACGAGAAGCTTGCTCGCTTGTGGAACTAAGGAACCGCCCGGAGTCACGATGAGTGGCGTTGCTTCCATGATTGCCACGCGCTTCGATGAAGAGACTGGCGACATGTGGGCCATAGGCTCGGGGCGCCGACAAAGTATAGGTTCCACGTGCCCAAAAATTTCAACACAGGAAAAACATCGCTGGCCGCAGGCAGATTAGGCGGCCGACATAGAGCTTCAATAAGGTCTGAAGCGATGCCTTGCAATGATCATAGCTCAAGGTCGGAACACGAGCGTGGGTGAAGCTCGTGACGCTGATGAGTTGTTCTTGTACCGCCTGGAGTTTCAGCCACCTGACGGCCTTAGTGGTCTTGGCGGCCGGGATCGCGTTGCGAGCGCTACCCGCCGCTGCGCGTTGCCGGGCTTGCAAGGGGTCTTTGAGGGAGATCGAGGTACGTACAGCTTCCTAGCGCAAGGGCATCTTTACGTCGTAGCTGCCCCATCCGAGCATCACATTCGAGATACACTCTGTCGTATCAACATACGCGACTGCAGCATGCACATCTACAATTACTCGTTGCGCAAGAATCTGAACAACGACTGGACCTGCATTGCGGACAGAGCCGGCTTGCTGCTGGATGGTGTGATTCATCCATTGTCGGCGCTGCCAGCGCCTGTCGAGGTGGAAGCTCCACCCGCTGGAGTCCCATCAGGCTATGGCTGCCATCGACACCCGCAGCAAGGCATGTATGCTCAAGCAGAGTACCAGTTTCGACACGTCAACCAAAAGTGTCTCGGTCGCCTTGCGTCCTCCTTTACTCCCGATAAAAGCCGTGGCACTTGCCTGGAAGCTGCTGAAGCTTTCGCGAGTGTATGTGAGGAGATAAGCGGGAAACTGTGCAAGCTGACGATCAGATCAGGGGCTTCCTTGTCCTGGACTCGTGAGACGGTCGACTGCGTGCCTCGTGCATGCACGGTGCTGGATTTGCACCGACTGGCACAAGAAGACGAGGTTATTTACCGGTGGTGCCCGACTCTACCTTTGATGTCTGGCCAGTTCTTGTACCAGTGCCGCCTCCAATTCAGCTGTTCAAGCACATTTCGGCAGAATACTACAGTATCTACAATCACGACTGCAACTCCAACCATCACTCCAACACCCACTGCAAACCTCAGCCGTGGCGGTGCAAAGCCTGTCTTTGAGGCAGCTGGGCTTGTGGAGCCCGTGCCCAGCACGTCAGGTGAGACTCCAGATACTCCACATCACTTCTCCATTCTGGCCGGTGGTACAGGACTGCGAGCAGGATTTTAGGGTTCATGCCTTTTTTCAACCTCCGGGTAGTCAGTTGCCACCGAACAAAATGAGGGCAAATGCTGTCTTTGGACCGGGGCTGACTTCAGGCCTCAGATAATGCGACAGAAATGCAGCTGCTTTCTTTTGTTGGCTTGCATTCATGCGCACACACGATGGGTCCAGTCACGGGAGCACTGTTTTCCTCGGGACCAGTACTGGTCCCTTATTCAACTCAATACCCCAAACCGGGAGCCCCAAGCTTTTGAAAACCCAGCCTTGAAGAAAGGGGTACTGCCAGGGCCCCAGGCCCCTGCAAACATTTCCAGGCGAGACGGGGGTTTACGATATTAGGGGGTGCCTTATTGGGGCCCGTATCTGAAGGGGAATCCTGCTATTTTGGGGACTATATCGGGGGGCCCCGTAATTTTTAAAACCCTAGATAGGTGACATCAGGTAGATGTTTCTCTTGGATCGGGATGCTTAAAGATAGATAAATCTCATGTGGCACACATGAAATCCGAACACGATCGGAGACAAGTCTTACCTTCGGTTTGATGTGAACATGTCCAACAGCACCACGCGAATGCATACCTGCCAAGCTAGCATTCTGTTGCCTTGTGATTCAACGCGCAGACAGAAGCCAACTTCAAAGTTTCGTTCAGCGTCGCACCTGTAAGCGTTCTCAGGCAAGATTTGCATCTTTGTGCACGCTCCAAAAGCGAGTTGAGGAGCATATCTTATGGCAGTTCGGAGTTCTCCTCCCACAGACCTTTAGCAGACGCGACCAGCTTGGCAAGCCTTTGAGATGAGTCAGATTAGAACAGGGACGATACCTATTCCTAGTTCAAGCCTCGAGCACACCTCATACAAGGGTGCCGTATGCCTTTGGGTCTTTGCATGTGAACAGTAGCAGTGAGCGGGGCTTCCTCCGCGCTTTCAGGACTCCCCTTTGCCTTCATGTGCATCCTTTTCGTTGGGATGGCTTGGTGCTGTTGCTGGCGTTCGATTCTGTGACTTGTATCAATACCTAGTAGTAGAGTAGGTAACCTTTAACTTTTTTGGGGCAGTATAATCCCCTTACAATCCCAAAGGTTAACCTTTAATTCCCCAAGGTTACTGGACAACTACGAACAGGTCAAGGGCCAAGCAAGCTGGGCAAGTCGTTGAAAAGAACGTTCCCTTGACTCTTGCAACGGTTCGTCAAGCCATCGGGGGCTCTTGAATACGATCTTTTCAATTGAGAACCCACAGTACCGACCTGAAAAGAGGAAATCTTTCTACCCCGCAAAACAAATATTTCAGTGGCATGACTGGCGTGCTCCGCCACAGATCCCGAGCACGTCCTCAACTTCGTGACATGGCGTTTTGGTCGCAAGCAATGGCTGAATGCTGATCAAGCCGGGCTTGGGCCAATTCTAGGCATTAGCAGAGAGTGCTCAGGGCCTTAGGGTCGGGTATGAGACCCTGCCTGCAGTTCAGTCCGATTGCAACCCGCCGGCTCGCTGTGCTTCCTTTATCCTGTCCTTTGCTCGGAAGACGTCCTAGGGTTTGGGGTTTAAGCTTTGAGTTTTCGGACTTCACCTTAGCCTGGATCACATGAAAGCTCGCATGCCACCAGCTAAGGCTTCATTTGATCACGAGCTGGCGGCGGGGTTGACGATGGATTTTGATGCCGATATGCCTCAGACGGCAGCGTACATGGAGATTGAGGAAGAAAAGGAGAAGCCAGTCGCTAGACGCGCTCTTCCTACCACGTAGCAACACACTTCCCCTGAGCAGCCTAGCGCTTTTGATGCCAAGATCCCCCTGAAGACCCATTTCTTGGGAAACAGGCTCTTCACAGGGGCCTCCTCTATGATAGAGCTATCTGAATGGCGATCCCCACCTTGCATTTTATGTGGTGCTGACAGCCTTGGTAGTATTTGTGACACGTGGATATCTTGCCCTAGGTCCGAACTCCCTTGAACCGGAACCCCTCCCCCAACAAGAACCCTGCTATGTTTGGGAGCCCCTTAGAAGCATGGAACCTTCCGTAGCCCCTAGGGAGACACGGCACCAATGCAGCGTTTCCTGGGGCATGGTACACGGACCAGATCCGCACCACTTGCAAGCGACTTAGGGTTCTTCGGGTTCTTAAGGGTTCGTAGGGTTCGGAGGGTTCTTAAAGGTTCTTAGAGCCGTTGAGATGGCCACAGAAGCCTGAGCTTGAGAGCGGGACTCTTTGTTCACATGGGGCCTTTGGGAGCCAGACTGTGGTGGGAGTTTAGGGTTTAGGGTTTAGGGTTTAGGGTTTAGGGTTTAGGGTTTAGGGAGCCATGGCTGTCAGCAACCGCCGGCTGTGGGTTGCCGCGCCCCGGCCGCAAACTTGTCAGAGGGCCTGTCGGGACTTTCAATACCCGCAGCGACGCAACATGAGTTTGACCAGGGCCGACAGGAGCAACCCCATAGCAGGCGAGTACAGAAGGTGTAGGTACCCCTAAACCCTAAACCCGAAACCCTAGACCCTAGACCCGAAACCCTAAACCCTCAACCCTAAACCAGGTACCAGACAGCGTTGTTCTCTTGACGTGTGAGGCCTTCCTGGCCTTGGGCTACGTGATCGTTGACCTGATACTCTACGTTTTGTGGGCAGCTTGGGGTGCATTAGGGTTTAGGGTTTAGAGTTTCGGGTTGAGGGTTTAGGGTAGCGCAGGTGTGAGTGCCCTTGCTGCAGGGATCCTCAAGAATGAGTGGCCCGGTGTGAGGATTGGGCCTTCCCCAAGACGGGGGTACCCCGAATCGACCTCAAAATGCAGGGTAATCCTTCTTACAGGACCCTCCAGAGAGGCATACCCCGAATTCGCGCAAACCCAGAATCGTTGAAGGCGATGGTTGTTTGGCACAAATCTAGCATGCTGTTCGACATCCTTGAGATCATCGACGACACACGGAATCCAAAAGAAACTCTCTTGGTGCTCTGCCCTTCTTGGACGCTAGAGGAGGTCGAGAAGCTCAGACCACTGACTATGGTGAGTTGGGGAGCTTTGTTATTTCTGCCCGCAGCGGGCTTTCCCGTCTTTGCCAGTGGTCTCTTGGCTCCTGTTTCGTGAGTCTCAGTATGTATTGCGATTGGTACTGTTCGTCTCATTCCTAGCTGTCTTGATAAGGCTTGTGGTTTTCGGGTAGAGTTGGGGCACACCGCCTCCCCCTCCTTCCCTACCCAGCCCTACCAAGGCGTGAGCTTCATGATTTCGATTTGTGTTGGGCCAGATGCATGTCCCAATACACCGACGCCTGTGTCGCACAGGCACGGGTTGAAGAGCTTGGGACGTGGTATATGTGGGGTTTAGGGTTCAGGGTTTGCTGTAATGCGGCGCAGATGCTGTGAAGGCTAGGATGCAGACGAGGCTCGAAGACTCCAGTGCAAATAGATGCAAATAGCAGATCTGGCCCGATTTGGAGGGTCAACTGCTTACTTCCAAAAACCTCTTCCGACGCCAGAGGGTCCCCGGGCGAACGACCTGGGTCGGGGCCGTAAGGCCTCGGCCTTGAGTTTAGTGTGTAGGGTTTAAGTGGGTTTAAGTGGTACAGGGGTGAAAGTGGGGTGTGAGGGAGGGTTCTCCGATGACTGGATGCAGTATGTGGGGGGCGTGATGATTGGCAGGCTCTTCGCTTTTTCATTCTTCTTCTCCGGCACGGCCCTCCTGTTTCTAGGCGAGGAATTCGTGAGCACTTCTAGGGCTCGAAGGGCCGAAGATAGTGGAATCGGAATAATTGCTAACAGCATCCCCCCTTGAACCCCGCAAAAAAACCCCTCTGTTACAGTTTTTTCTTCTGTTCTGCATGTTGCTCTCTCAAACACCGAACACTCCAAGGTTCAGCGGGACGTCCTTTGCCCTTGAGTGGAAGAATGACGGAAACCCGTTTTACGGGAGCACAAACCCGCGCTCCTTTAGTGGCTTATACTACGAGACGGACTGCTTTGGCTATGGCGGTTGCAGTGGCCACTACCTGGACGTGGTGGCAGTGCATGATGTGTCTAACCTGACTTAACCTAGTGTTAAACTTAACCTACCGGGCACAACTAGAGTTCTGCTGGGAGTATAGACATTCTTGCGAGCCCCATCCAAGCCTCAACAATGCTTGAAGAAGCTGCCAAGGTTTGGTGTCCAACAGGGTCCTCGCCAATCAGCTCGAGCGCGGAGATACTTTCAATTGTGGGTCCCATTCTCTTCGTGGTCACCTTCCCCGTCCTTGTGGCGGGCATGGGCTACGCCTGCTGTTATTCACGAGGCTGCCCTTGGCGCCCCAAAACACAACCATCCAACCCAGATCAGCCCTTGTGAAGATTAAGCCCTAAACCCTAAAGCCCTGAGCCCTAAGCCCTAAACCCCGCAAAGAATGGGAAGGACCTCGATTCTGCTTGATCGTCGCGACGCCGTCGATGCTCGCGGCTGTCTGCGGACTGGTCATAGGAGGAATCCAATATCCACTCGTGTTGCCTTACATCTTCGCCCATGCACCTCATCAGCAATAAAGGCAGCGCACCCTTGAGTGCCCCCTCGTCAGAAAGCTGTGCGTGTTTTGCCGGAAGGCTCTTTGGCAGTATGCGCGCCTTGTGATCAACTGCGTTGCCGGCGTTGACCAAAAGGCGGTGGACGTCAGCTTCCGCACAACGCAAAACGACGACATGGTGCCCGGCATCATCGGGAAACCGGCGGCCGGCGGTGACGGTGACGTAGGCGGCCTCTTTGTTTGTTTTTTGGTGCTCTTGTGCCGGTGCACCCTCCTTTCTCCGCCATCGACATAGAGAGGGAGATGCCTTGAAATAGAGTGGTGAAACTCTGAACCCTAAGCCCTAAACCCTAACCGGTATTATGGTATGATTTTCTGCAGCTACAACCGTGTGACTGTGTGATTGTACTATTGTATGATTGCACTGTTTTATTCAATCAGTATTGTATTATTAGTTCATTGTCATGCATTTTTGCATGATTGTATGATCGCATGATTGATCGTATTCTTGTATTCTGGTATTCTTGGGTTGCCGTACTGTTGAATGATCATGTTATTGTATTATTGTATACTCACAATATCATGCAATATACGATTTTATTTTGATCTGATTCTATGATTAGGTTTTGTATATTATCTCTTGTTTTGCTAAACCCTAAACCCTAAACCCTAAACCCTATAAACCCTATAAACCCTATAAACCCTATAAACCCTATAAACCCTATAAGCCCTATAAACCCTATAAACCCTATAAACCCTATAAACCCTATAAACCCTATAAACCCTATAAACCCTATAAACCCTATAAACCCTATAAACCCTATAAACCCTATAAACCCTATAAACCCTATAAACCCTATAAACCCTATAAACCCTATAAACCCTATAAACCCTGTAAACCTCATAAACCCTATAAACCCTATAAACCCTATAAACCCTAAACCCTAAACCCTAGACCCTAGACCCTAGACCCTAAACCCTACCTTATCTAATTCTTTTGTGAGGTCCTGTTGAGGACACGGGCTACTACGGCTACTGATGCCCTGGCTTCAAGCCGAGATGAGGTTGCGAGTTGCTTGTCGGCCAGGGGAGGTCATCGAGCTTGGGGCTTAAAGGCTAAACCCTAAACCCTAAACCCTAAACCCTATAAACCCTATAAACCCTATAAACCCTATAAACCCTATAAACCCTAAACCCTATAAACCCTAAACCCTAAACCCTAAACCCTAGACCCTAGACCCTAGACCCTGGACCCTAGACCCTAAACCCTAAACCCTAAACCCTACCTTATCTAATTCTTTTGTGAGGTCCTGTTGAGGACACGGGCTACTACGGCTACTGATGCCCTGGCTTCAAGCCGAGATGAGGTTGCGAGTTGCTTGTCGGCCAGGGGAGGTCATCGAGCTTGGGGCTTAAACCCTAAACCCTAAACCCTAAACCCTAAACCCTAAACCCTAAACCCTAAACCCTAAACCCTAAACCCTAAACCCTAAACCCTAAACCCTAAAACCCTAAAACCCTTAAACCCTTAAACCCTTAAACCCTTAAACCCTAAACCCTAAACCCTAAACCCCAAACCCCAAACCCTAAGCCCGAAACCCCAAACCCTAAACCCTAAAACCTAGACCCTGAACCCTAAATCCGAAACCCTAAACCCTAAACCCTAAACCCTAAAACCTAAACCCTGAACCCTAAACCCTAAACCCTAAACCCCTAAACCCGCAACGTTTTCGGACTTGGCTTCGAGCAAAGCCTTGACATCCCGTGGCCTGAGCGCACAACGAACTCACGGGTCCCCTTCGTTTTGGGGAGATTACCCACAATGTTGCAGGGCTCTTAAGGGAGGGTTTAGGGTTTAGGGTTTAGGGTTTGGGGTTTAGGGTTTAGGGTTTAGGGTTTAGGGTTTAGGGTTCAGGGTTTGTGTAGGGATTAAGGTTTAGGGTTTAAACCCAGGGTTTAGGGTTTAGGGGTCAAGGGGGGGGTAGGTACCTGAAGAACCTTAGGGAAGCTTAGGGATCCTGAGGGAGTAGTAGGGAGTATTTTTGTTGCATACCCCCCTTGAACGCGCCTCCCTTAAGAACCCTATAAAGACACGACAATGTTTTCATCTCGGCCCCGTCAATGGATGGGGGTGGGGATGCTTGCGGCCAGAAGTGCCCTTGGGGAAAGCCTACATGAAGTAGGGTTCATGGGTTGAGTGAGGCAGCACAGGGCTGCTTCAGGCAGGGGGGCCAGAGGGCATGTACAGGCGGTGGCTTTTTGGGGGTGCCAATCTTTAAGCCTACTGAGGAAATCGTAGTGGAAACTCCAACTTATGTAGTAACCCTAAGCCCCAAGCCCTAAACTCTAAACCACTAAACCCTAAGACTCTTCGTTTCACTGGCCTGGATGGAGCTTGCGCTCTGCGAGCTCCGCAACTTCCGGTTCCGCAAGAAGAGGCGAAAAGCACTCTCGTGCGATGCTGGGCGTATCTGGGCGTGTCTGGAGACGAAGGGCGACCACGATAGTTTCACGGCTTTGCTCCTGCAGGGTCCCCATCCGCGCAAGGCTGGTCTCTGATTGGCACGGTTTTCTCGGTTTTCTTCCAGGGCTCGGGTGGAGAGCATCGTGGCACAACATCGCGCGGTCAGTGTGCCAATCCTGATGCGCCACCTCAATGGGAACCGTCAGTTGCAAAGTTGGCCTCGGAGGGACGTTCGGCGATGTGGTCATGTTTTGGGCACTGAATATGCGTCTCATGGTATCTCTATATTTTGAAGTTTTCCAGCCCACTGAAGGGTTTCTAAAAACTACGCAGGGCAGCTTTGCCTGAAGCCCGAGCTCAGACTCGGACTTCCGTGTTATGGCTCATGAACACAAAGTGCAGACCGCACAGATGCAGACTTAAGCCTGGCTGCCGGGATGCGTCCTGGGCCAGGCATTGCAGGCACCGGCGCTGCAAAACCCATGGCGTGCACACCATCGCGCACACGGGACTTTGCAAAGTCAAAAAGCGTGAAGGAATCACCCGGCTGCGCCATGTGCTGTTTGCCAGTCTTCGCAGGAAGCAACATGCCCCCTTTCATGCGCACCCCGAAACTCCATGTCTGCAGAGCCCATTCATGCCGCTTCGCACCACCCTACTGCAACGCCTCTTCTGGTGAAGCGTTGTTGGGTTCACATGGTTTGCACATGTCTGCAACGCCCTCGCCCTGCCCACTCCCGAACACGTGGACGGCATCTGACGGCATACGGTTACGCCGGAGGAACCGACAGCGCTCGAGTCGATGACATCACACCCATCCATGATCATCCATGCCCGCGGCCGAGAGCTCGCTGGTTGCAGCCTACTGTGCGAAATGTCCTCAACTTGTGCTTTGCGCCGCAGCCCTTCAGCACAGAGGTCTTGGCCATGGACACCACCAGCACTCAACCTTGCAAAGCAATCTGGCCACAATAGCGGGGCCGACCACACCCTGCTCAAATGCTCGCCCTGCGTGGCAGCTACACATGAAGCATGGCTCGCATATGCGTTGGAGCCACCTAGCATGCCTTGAACGTGCGTGCACTCAGGATGCGCCATATAATAGGCACTAGCTTTCTACTAAGTCCCTTTTCATAAATGGATTGTCAAACAACACACAACCCTTCATGTGGGACAAGTGTCCGGACATCACCACAAAGCTCAGCACACACACAAAGGTGCAATTGCAATGCAGACATGTTCTACGGTCCTTCAGCCCCACAGCTGCAAGGCAGAAAGAGCGACCCGAAGGTGCTTGCAAGCTCAGAGATCAGCTATGCCGCCTGCACCTTAAACGCGATGGGCTCCAAGAAGGGATCCCGCCCTTCGGCCCCCTGCCCAGCCGAGTGCCAAACATTGCTTGCAAAGCGCTTGAGGGCATGGAGCCCCGCGAGAAGAGCGCAACCCAGAGATCCTGCATTTGATAGACAGGCGAACAAGTGTAAGGCATCGAAGAAGTCCACGGAACGAAGAAACATCGGATGCCAAGTAGCGCCTGCCTCAAGGCACACCGCCGTCGGCAAAGACAAACTCACCATTTTCGGGGAAGGTGGATTCATCCCCCGCGCATCATGTTGGCCTCTGACCTGTGATGGACCACATGCGCAAATGGATGTTGTATGATGCTTTGCCTGGCCCATTTTGCAGTTTGATGCACAGATATGCGCAGTACACGTGGAATGATTTTGTGTCGATCATGCGTTCATTGCTTGGTTCGTGTTCTATGTCACAACTGTGATTCAAACAAAGAGCAAGACTGGTAAATTAACAACCTGAGCTAGCCGGGCTCGGTCCTTTTCGTTTTGGTAGTATTTTGATGGGCCGGTCCGTCCATCCTGTCTCGTCGCCGCAGAATCCGCAGCCCTCCATCAAGGCGGTGCGGAGGAATCCCGTGTAGCGACGGTAGCGCTGGCATCGCTGGCGCAGAGCTTGAGAGCATCCCCATGCCGCCCAGTAAAACTGCAGGCAGCGTTCGTTTGGCCGTGGAAAGGCCCAAACCCCCAATATCCCCCAATGCTCGGCGGCAGCAGCATCATCCAGAACTGCTCGCCAGGTCCCCTGTCGCCGCGCAGGCACTCAACAACCGCCCACACTGCTGCGTCAGATCGCGTCATCGGGTTTGTGCATACCAGGATGGGCTATCCTGGCGCACAGCACCGGCACGCAAGCAGCAGCCATGGCTGCAGGGGGTGGCCGGCTCAAAGTTCTCATGGGCTCTTCTCAACCTAGGCCACAGGTCGCCTCAGCTGCGGCACAACACATTCGCCGGCGAGGAATGCACGGTAGTTGGTGAGGGTAATGGATGCCGGCCCTCAGTGGGTGCTAAGGGTTGCCAGGGTTGGCATCGCCCACTTGTGAGGAAGGCAAGGTCCTAAAGCCAAGAGGGTGGCCCGGATGGCGCCGGGGTGTGCGCAAAAGAGAAGCTTGTGTTTGAACTTCGCTCGGCAGCCGCTCGTAGGCTTTATCGTCAAAGCGACCAACAGTGGGCGAGCCATGCAGCCATTCGAGCGCAGAGCAAGGTGTCGTGACACGCAGCCGTGGGGTGACCTGCTGGAGCGACGGAGCTCGTCACAGAATCCAACACCCCCAACCTGTGCACAACACGCCGCCCCTCCAGGATGTGCAAAATTGTGCCATCCGGTGCCGGATCTGGCGTCCTCCATCCCGCGTGTCTGCGCCGCTTTCGGATGTTGGATTGGGAGCAAGCTGCTGTGCCCTCCGCCGCTGGGGAGCCCTGCCCGAACTGCTGCCGCCCACAAGTTTGGGAGTTTGACGTCGCGCGTCGCCCTCCACCTGCCCCGGGCAAACAATGAAAAATGTGTTGAGGTATAGTGGTCAACGGTTTGCCTTTGTGGCGTGGCGGTCAGATCGCGGTTGACCCGACGCTCGTGAGCCCGCTGCAAAGGTGCGGAGAGCCCTGCCCGTGTGCCAATGCCGAGCCTGGGTGTGTGCTTCGCTACGCCGAGGCGCGCCAGCTTCGCACGTATCCGGAGCTGCGAGCTGGGGGGCCAGGGTGTTGTCAGTTGGTCGTTTGCGGCGGGGACGATTCAGCCCTAAGGCCCTCGCCTTTATCCGCCGCTTGGCGAAAGCACAAGAACCAGGACGGTCGCCGTGGAACGCCACCGCGGTCGGGCGGGCGCTGACCCGTGGGCAGCACTGCGCGCACGCGCAAGCGCTGCTAAAGACTGTGGGGTTTTCGTCTGTCCAAAACGAAGGGTGATGTGTAGCTTAACACAGCATGTGACACGCTCCGATACATCAGTATTTTCGGGTGTAACCAGGAGCGTGATTGCGTTGGGGCTGATGCGATGCAGGAACGTGACCCTCCACCAGGGAGTGCCCAGGCTTAACCGGAATCAGCTTCGGGGGTTTTTCGTCAGGTATGATCTTTATGAATCTTGCAAAAGGGGGCGGTGGGAGGGGGCTTGAATTTGAGGACGAACAAGGGCGTGTTGACATGAGAAGGTGCTTGAAGCCCCCTTCGAGAATTCTAAATTTAGGAATTTTCAAAGTCAACTGAAGGGTGATTTGAAGGGTCTTCAAGGTGGACTTGACAAGGGAGGCCTCCTCAATCTGCTAGTATGGCAATGAGCCATGACCCTGCTTGAGGTCCCCATTGCGAGCGCACCAAGGCCCGGGCACTTGGCATCATGGCTGGCAGCAGCACGCTGTCGCATGGCTGTCTCCGGCGGGCACCACTTTCCAGCTCGGCGAAAGCGGGGAGTCGGGCGTGGATGAGCGCTCCGAGGACTGCAGCCCCCGGCGCCACCCAAATGGGCTGGCAGCCCAGGCACTGTTTCAGGAGCCAGTGGCAATGACCTCGATGCGTTGTTCAGCCGGGCGGACACGGACGGCATTAAGATCACGCGCGATGCACGAGGACATGCGTCGCGACAGTGGCGCCAGCCTCTGGCAGCCGCTCGTTCGAGCGGGCCAACTAGTTGCAGTGAGCGGGGGCGGCAAATGGAGCCGACGCAACAGCAGCACACGGAACAACGGGGATTCCAGAGTGAGTTCAGGTGAGGTTGGCCGTGCAGTGAACACGCGGGCTGCGTACGGCCCAGCCTGGAAGTCAAGCAGGGCAGTGGGGGAGGCATCCAGTTCCCGCAACAGGGCTCGCTGGCAAACGCTGTCGACGGGTTGGGGCAGCGCGCTGCCATCCGCGCGTGTTGTTCGTGCCAGGACGGGGGTTCAAAGCCTACTGCACACAAGGAGTCGCGGGCAGCCCGCAGCGGCTCCAGTGTCTGCTGGCCACCGAGGACTTCGGGACGGAAGTGGCAATTCCACGCCTGTGGTCCGACAGTTCGACCGGCATCACAGCCATAGGGCCAGGAAACAAACTTTTCACCTTGACGTGAGCGAATCTTTCGTGCAAGAAACAGTGCAAGGCTCTGTTGCGAAACGTCAAAAGACGGAGAATCCTGCGACGCCGCGCGGTGGTCTCCAAGGGCGTCGAGCAGCCCGCGGCAGGAGCAGGCATGCGGGGCCAGGGGCAGTAGTGGTGCGTGTCACTGCGCTTGTGCTGTTCCCACATGATCCACATGGTCGCGTTCATCTTTCAAGTTGAGCGTGTCACTGTGCTGTTCCCACATGGTCGTGTTCATCTTTCAAGTGGCGTGTTGTGCGTGTCACTGCGCTT